GTGGGCGTGGCCGCGCAGGCGCGGTGCGCGCAGCGAAGGGTCCAGGCCGGCGCCCGGAGCCGGCGGCGGGGCCGGGGCGGGCCCTGAGGGGAGACGGCCCCGAGACGGCCCCCAACCGGCCGGGTGAGGTCGGGGAGACGCGGCTGTGCGAGTATTCTCTGACTGAGGTTGCCTGGGTGGGTTATTTGCCCCCGGAGGTTTGGGGGTGTTAGTGATGTTATGGGTTACTACTGTTCTGTTTGKTTTTTGTATAGGGTTTATAGCGTATAATGTATGTACAGAGAGTATTATAAACGGTATGTGGAGTATATACATGGTAAATAATATATTGAAATTATTATRTAGGTTATATAGAATATATATGGTATATAKAGTGGAATGGACAAYCTTACACCATACACTTACACGCGTWAACATAGTGTAAAACATTCTGTGTGTAAAACCAAGCAGTAATGGCAGAGAAACTGGTCACTGACGCATTGTGGGGAGCACGGCAGAGGGTCCAGCTGGCTGCCAGGGCCAGGTGCTGTCAGTGCTCTGTGGCCACGGTTGTCTGATCCGAACATTCGCTCATTAATAACGCAAATCAGAGGAAACGGGAAGTTGAGGGAACAGCGGTTTCCACTGAGCAGSAGTGATCTGCTGGAGCTGGGGCAATCCCATTCTTGAGACTCATCTTGAGTGATAAGTGCTGACAGAGGTGGTGGTGGCATCATGGGGCAGGGTGTGCAGGCTCTGTGGGTTTGGGGTGGCCACTGGGTTCCTCATCAGTGGGGCCAGGGTCCTGGTTATTATTATTTGGCCMCTGGTGTGCCAGACACTGCTGAGAATCAGAACTGTTTGCTGTGCCCAGTTCTGTGCTCCATGGCAGGAGAAAGACAAGAATCAACTGGAGGGGGTGCAGTGGAGGCCACAGGGAGGATTTGGGGTGTGGAGCATCTCTGTGCTGAGCAGAGACTGCGGGAGCTGGGCCTGCTCAGCCTGGAGAAGGGAAGGTGTGAGGGATCCCATCAATCCATACAAACACCTCACAGGGGGACAGAGAATGGGGTCAGACTGTGTTTGTGGGGCCAGGGACAGGATGAGGAGCAATGGCCATAAAATAAACCACGAGTTCCACCTTTACACTGAGGGTGCAGAGCCCTGGAGCAGCTGCCCAGGGAGGGTGTGGAGTCTTCTCTCTGGAGAAATCCCAACCCCACCTGGACATGTTCCTGTGTCACTGCTCTAGGAGATCCTGCGTGGGCAGGAGGGTTGGACTGGATGAGTTCCAGAGGTCCCTTCAAGCCCTGATAATTGGGGATTCTGTGATTGTGAGTATAGTGTGAGTAATACTATTCTCAGTTCAGAGGAGCAAGATTCTGTGGGTGGATGAGTGAGAGAAAATCCTAAGGTTCTGAAGGTGATGTGGGATAGAGATGTTCAGGTGCTAGTGTCATCACACAGGTTGGAGTTCTGTCCTTCCAAAGAGTTTTTATTGAACTAACACAACGGTTCTCTTTAAACAAGACAATTTGTTGTAGTGTGCCCCGGAAACTTGTCYTTATGTGTCAGAAAATTTCTGAAGCTTTTGCCTTCAGCCCCTGATTCAGCTCCTAAACTTGCTGTGGCAGCAGCCACGGCAGCTTTTSTGTTGGACAGCGAGTTGTTTTGCTCAGCAAGAATCGTTTTGGTTTTTGTTTGAATTTTTCATGGAACATTTGTTCAGTTCTATGAACTTCTCCATCAGGTTGATTGCTGATGAGCTCTGTAGGCAGCTGYTCCCGTAAATATTTTGTCCCTAGGGCCTCAAGGCTAGGTGTGGGGGTATGGTGTTGGGGTGTGGGAGGGGGTGAGAAGAAAAAAGCTGATAATTAACTCCTTCAGTACCCTTAGTGTGGGAGAAGAGGCGTGCTGTGCCCCATGAGAATTTTGTTGTAAATTTAATGCTCAGTGGTTGTGTTTGTATTGGGGGTTTTGCTCTACTTCTGGTAGTTGCTGGGGTGGTAAGGTAGAAGCTTTTATCTTGTGAGGATAAAAGCTTAAACACAGCTTCCTCCTCAGGCTGAATATAATGATTAAACACAATGATGGAGCTCAAACTGTGCAGCGAGGAAAAAGACTTTAATTCTAATAATCAGAGTTAAGGTGTCTGTTGTGGTCAGCTCTTTGGAGTGGRGACCCGTGAACCCGTTCTGTGTGTGTTCCTTTGTGTGTTCTGCAAGTTAGCACTACTGAGAACTGCTAACTGCTTCCATTTATCTGGAAAAAAAAAAACTAACAATCCATCCTGTAAGATGGCCACTCAGTATCCCAGCAGCCTTGTGTTATCTTCTCCTTTAAATACGAGTGTGTTGAGAAATCCTCAGTGGAATGTTGGTTTTGAACTCTGGAATATGCGCCTGTTGTTACGTAGGGAGGGATAAGTAATTTATAAAGCATATAAAAGAAGTGTCRAAGTCGGTGAAAGCATTTATGAATGCCCTGTCACACTTGCAGTCAGTGCAGTCATCCAGATCTCAGGATTTGCATTCCAGAGTTACCATTTAACAGTTTTAATGCAGCAKAATTATTGCCTCTGTTTCTTGGGTCTGTGTGCAGTTTGAAGTGCTGTGTTGGGAGTGTGTCWGACCACTTGTTGGAGATCTGAGATGAACCTGTTTAGAGACACACCAAAGGTTTATCTGGGGAAGTGGCACATTCAGTGTGAGCTTTATTTGTAGCACAGTTTGTGCTTTGATTATTTTCCTTTTTTGAGATGGACTGCTGTTCTATCTTCATTTCTTGCTGTACATAAATGTTTARTTTACCTTAATCTGCTAATATATAGTCTTTAACAGACACTGATTTAAATACCATTTAAAAGTTTGGAAAAAGTCAGTTTGGAAAAATGGAGCTGGTGAGAGCATTAAGTTTATGTCTGCCTGCACTGCTAGGGACTTAAGGACTAAGATAAAGTTATAAACATTAAGTTTATTTTTAAAAAATACTAATCTGTGAACCAGTTTAGGGAGTGTCTCGTGACTGCTTTCAGAGCTCTAAGATACAACCTTCTGTCGTTCACAAGACAACAGCTCTGTCTATCTTAAAAACATACATAGTGATAGTGCCTCTGGTTTTTGATAGTTAAATTCTTTTGTTACAGTCTGAAAAGTCTTAAAAGAATATCTTTAGAACAAATGCAGTTTGCTGAATGAAAATTACTTCTCCAGACCCTTTATGCAGGGAAGGTAGCCGTTATTTGGTAAAAACATGTCATCAGAACTTTTCCRTGGCTTCTAATGCATTAATGTAAACATTGGGACAGGCTGTATGCAAATCCATGCAGAAAATAAAAAAAAAAAACAAAACTTGCTCATCTTGTTGAAAGAAGATTTGAAACATGAGAAACTTTTTGCAGTTCTTTGGTGAAGCAGACACTGAGTCAGGACAGAGAGATGAGACAAGGGGGCACTGCTGGTCTGCCTGTTTTGGGGGTTTTGATTTTATTGTGGGTTTTTTGCTTTTAGGCCTCTTGTAGAAAAGCTAAAAACCTACACAAAATTTGAGGAAGGAGTAATGAAATTAGGAATAATATATGTTCTAGTTATTCAAAGTTAGTTTAGTTATTCAAAAAGCTTTACCGAGTCAAATAACTATTTTATTTTACAAATAGATTTAAGTAAATGAAACAGTGCTACTGGGTTGGTAGACTGAGGTGTCATAGTTTTCTGACCTCTCTGTAGAAGAGAGTTAATCTGTATTAAATAGATGTGAATAATTGCATATGATTTTAGTTCTACTGTTCTTTGCTTTTTCAGAGAGTTTAGTGGGCCAGCATCAATGCATCCTTCAAATTAGCATTATAATCAAATAATAGATAGCATTGTAAACTAATAATGCCCTTTACTTAATTCAGAATTTGTTGTATGCCCCGTCAGGATTGCAAAACAATGAATATTCTCTAAGTCTTTTTAAGTAAAAGACAAAGGTAGATGAAATAATTACTTGCCTCTCGTCTATATAATTTTTTAAAATGTGAAAGGTTTTTGTTTTTGATAAGCTTCTGTTGTTATTGATATCTGTGATATCTGGTGAGATTGTATAATAAATACCTACAGAGGACACAAACCAGCATTACACATCTCTTGATCCCCGGTTTTCTTGTAACCCTTCAATATTTCTTGTTTATGTGGCCTGTTGGACTATCGACTGTCCACAGATACGTGCTTTAGGGATGGGATCTGTACTTTAATGTGTGTCAGTGAATCACCGAAAGCTGTTAATCGTGTAAAGTTCTTAATTGAAATAGCTTCCAGTTCATGTTGTTGCATCCCCCTTGCCGGGAGGTCGTGATTGCTGCCGGATTCAGTTTGGTGAGGAGGAGGGGTACTGAGGCTGTGTTTTCTGCTCTTTGAGCCCTCTRCACCCTGTGAGAGACTTGCAGCCTGAAGACCTTGGCCGTGACTAATTAATGGCCATGGATATCAAAACAGTGATATATTCAGATTGTTCATTTTTTGCTTAAATATGAGCACCAACTACTTCATTACTGCGTATTTGTTTCACCTTTCTTAYGCTTTGCAAGTCTCTGTTTGAGCTACACATTGCCTTAAAGTGTTCTTGCCACATGCATGTTAATGTGAAAAATAATTACATTGCATGTGGYGAACAATTACACATTAATATAAATTAATTCTTCTGAACTGTGCAGCAAAGAGAAATGTTTGCACTTAGAGGAGGAAGTCTGTAGCTGCAGGGTGSCGTAAGTGGTGTGAGAGAGGATTTAAGTATTTGTTTGACTCTAAGCTTTTAGAAGGATGACTGGACATTGCTAGGTGGTCAAAATACCAGTTGAATTGGAGTAGGGTGTCAGGTCAGCAGATGGAGAAACTGAATGCACTGATAAAAGCAGATGGAAARCTAGACAGGTCTCCACTGGTGCCGTTTCCAGACATTAGACTAAATGAATCTCAGTCCTCTCAGTTTGCTCGAAGGAAGTGTAAATATTGATTTTTGTATTATGGGTGGTTGCACTGCATGGGTGTTCAGCCATGAAAAAAAGATGTGCAGTTAGAAAGCAATTCTGAGTGACCAAAAAGGCATAAAATTGAGTGGCTGGAAAGGTTCATTAAACAAATAAAGCAGGGTGTTTGGCAGTGGGGTAAGTAATTGATTAATAAATAGYTTTCAGTTGAGCTTGTAAGTCTGTAATAAGAGGTTTATGGTCTTGGGTTCTCAGAAGTGTAATTGTTTATGTGTTTTGAGTAGAACAGAAATGATGAGCAGAATTACCGTGTTGGATTTTTAATTTTTATTATTAYTTAGACAGGTGAGCTGTRTTCAAAGTTAATAATGGCCTATTTTGTTTTTTGCCTGTGAAGTATGTGGCTCAAAAGGTATATAAAGTGTGTATGTACATATCAAACTAGAAGATACTAACATTCCTTCTGGTTTTAAATTTGCTGACATTATAATACCATAGCACATGCTTTCAGATGCATTTATTATTTATAAGTAGCCTCAATGTTGTGATGTGAAGTGAGTTTTTCAGTGTATTGCTGAGTACATTGAGCATATTCAGGGTGCTTAGAGGTTTTTGTGCATAGGGTTTGTTTACCTGGAGAGAGAACAAAGTGTTAATGAAAAGAAAAAAAATGAGTCTAATACAAACACTTGGGCTTTGTAAACAGAAAAATGCTTTTAATTAAACACTGTATTTTTCTCTGTAGGTTTAAGACRGCTAAAGCTTCACTAGATCTGACTAGAATGGACAGTTACTTTAGAGCTGCGGTCTGTGACTTGGACAAACTGCTCGATGAATTTGAGCAGAATACAGGTTGGTTTCTGCGCTGCCTTTTTTCGTGGAAGTACATGGTCAAATGACTGTTACCATGGAGTCTGAAAGTAGCATCTGCTGAGTAAAAGCTTGTATTGATGAATAGATGGGATGTAGAGGGAGTGCTCAGTGGAAAGAGAGGAGTCTTTTAAACTTTGCTTTTGATCTCTTCTTGCTTAAAATAGATGAATGTGAGTGCTTCAGAACACTTCAGAATCCATATGACTCAAAGCTGTCTTCAGTCCTGGATTGCTTTGAGCATGCACACCCCACACCAAACCTGCCAGAGGATCCTGCCAGATGTCCTGCCTCAGAGGAGAGCTCTCTCGTCGCCCCTGTGGGCACAAGTGATGTGCTCAGTTACTCACCTCCCAAAGAGAAGGGTGTTGCTGGACCTGACCTTTTGTCCACTGTGGATAGTGGTCCCCTAAAGGAAATTCAGGCTGCAAACCTGGGAAGGTGTAGCATTCCTGTGTGTGATCTTGTTAGTGACACAGCGAATTTAATCCACTCAGTGGCTGCTCATGAAGGGACTCAGAAATTGCAGCCAGATGATTTCCAGTACAGTGAGAGGCCCGATGGCTGTGGCTTATCTTGTATCCCTGTTCCTATTTGTGTGYCATCACCTGGCTGCAGTGCTGCTGYCAGTACAAAGCAGAGTGATGGGGATTCGGTGTTACAAGATTCAGGGCATCTTAAAACAGAGSAGATTAATAGTTTCACTTCAARATCAGAGAGTKRTGCTGCAGGAGCAATCCYGGATCCGTGTGATCATCAACACAGRACAGAATCTGTAAAGTGCAATGAAGTACCTGACCAGACTGAACAAATTGCTGCCCTGGATACTGAATGTGTCACTGTAACATCACAGAATTTGAATGCATACGATCCCAAAGACGAGAAAACCTGTGAAAAACTCCCTTGTGAAACACAGGATGACAGTGCATGCTCTGCAGTAAGCACAGAGGTGTACGGAGGAAATGTCACAGGAAAGGTAGACCCAAATGAGGGGAGTAATGTTGACTCCATGCCTTCAGATATTCCAAAGAGGCATCAGATGCACGAGAGCAATTCAACATTACCTGAAAATTGTGCTTTACCARGCTCCTCGTGTCAAACAGGAGCTGAAGTAGAACTGGAGGAGAAAATCACAGAAGAGAATGTAGTTAGTGAAGAGTTTAATAGCAGTGAGATACTGAGCAGTGTTTCTAGTTCGTGTATTTCAGCTGAGGATGTCCAGAGCTCTCTGTCCTGTCTTTCCCTTCCTGTGTCTATGTGYGGTTCATTGGTTGTAACAGAAGAAACGATTAATCCTCTACCTCAAAATGCAGTGACAGAGGTTGTTAGTGATACTGTAACTGTTCATGCTGGAGAGTGTAAAACTCATCTCTCTGGTAGGGAATCTTGTGAAAATACCAACTGGCATGAAGAGGAAGAATATTTGGCTGAAATCARTGGAAGTATTGCAGAAAAAAGTAGGGATGGAGAGAAGTACAATACTGAGAATGTAACTGATGATGGTGATTCTCAGCAAGTCAAAACTTTTGCTTCTGCTTTTCTAGACCTTGAGGCTGARCCATATGGTATTGGTGTAGACACTTTTTATGATGAGAGCATGGGCTCTGTTATGGCTGACTTTATTGATGAGGAGAATGTTATTAAAAGTGATGCTCTAATAAGCGATGCTGAGCTTGATGATTTCTTGTATGGACAAAATCTGCAGTCCAATGTGTTGAAGTCTTCAGGCAATGACAGTAACTTGATGGAAGCTGATGCAGATGGAGGGAATTTAACAGATCTGAGCAACCTGGATTTCACAGAAGTCAGTGAAAAACTTGTGCAAACAAAACTRGAGGAGATAACGAGCATTAATAGTACCTTTAAAGCGTCTCTTGCTGCCAGTGAACTGGAAGCTGCAGCAGAAGTCAGCATGTCTCGTGGTCAGGGTGTGACTGAGAATGGTGACAGAGCTCTGCCTTCCGATGTTTGTGCTGAAGGTGCAAGACCAAAGYGGTTGCTTGACCTTTCCCAGGGAGCTGCTGATCAGAAACAACTGAACAGAATAAATGAAAGAGAAAACCAGGAGTCTGGTTCTCTTAACCCAGAGACTCCCCTCTCTGACACCACTGTAACTGCTGGTAATAATTCTGAGCCTGAGGCTGGAGGAAATCAAACAGCTGAAAAYGCTGAATCCCGTAAAACACCTTCATCTCTGTCATGGAAACAGCCCTTGTGGGTCCCGGATTCAGAGGCACCCAACTGCATGAACTGCCAGGCCAAGTTCACCTTCACAAAGAGGCGACACCACTGCCGAGCCTGTGGGAAGGTGAGTCACCRGAGAGGGGTCCTGTGCTGCTGGCAGGACATGGAGATTCTGATTTAGGCGTAACCAAGATACAGAAGTAAAAGAATATTGACAGAAATTTTCTAGGCTTGGAAGTATTCTATTTACCAAGAACCAATTTTTGTTTTCCTTTCATAGGAATCTAAAGACTGCTGGAAAAAGCTAATGTTAATTGAGAAATATATGASYYTTCTTGTGAAAATTGTAACTAAAGRGAAGTACAAAGTATGTTCTTCTCTTGTGTGTCATGATTGGCTAAACTGATGTGTTTTGCACAGAGTAAGGGAGATGAGAYGATGGACTACTTCATAGTAATCATATTGAGTCAGCTTGTTATTGTGCTATTAACTGAAGTATTTATGTTTTTTGAAACTGAGGTGGTGATGATGATAATCTAGTCATTTGCTATAAGTGGTTATACCAACTGTGGAGCACTGTTCATGAGCCTGAGGGGATTGTATTCTTTCAGGAGCCGTAACAGCAATAGCAGTGCAAGAAGATTGATAGTCTAAATCTGATCTTTGTGTGTTTAGATGTGTAATTTTTCTAAGGACCTCATCTCAGGGGAAAAGTATGTGACTCACCAACAAAGTGACTAATTGTAGAACATTTTTTCAGCCTGTGTTCGTCTGCTGACAGTAAGTGATGCCAAAGCTGATTCTCAGTTCACAATTCTATTTTTTCTGCTATGGCTTGTATTAGTGCATAAATGGAAGTGCTAGCAATACTAATGACCCTACTGTTGTGTTGCTCTGTAAGCTGTAGGGATGAGGAGACACAGCAAAACCAAGGGTCAGTACTTTTCACATCCCCAGTGTTAAGAAGCACCTGGAAAGGCTTGGTAGGTTTTTTTTTTCCCACCTCTCTTCTAGCACTGTGTGTTTAAAGCATGATGCTTATTTACTCAGCCACAGCTGGCGTGGACTAAAATGTAGGTGTGCATTGGAGTGTCCAGGAAATTAAGAACTCCTTGTGCCACCCTGGAACCCATTGAACTTGCTGCCAGAATACCCTGTAGAGGTTTTGTGATGGTTTAAAACACAGTCCTTCAGAATGGGTTTTGTTTCAGTCATAAGATTGACTGACTTCAAGTTCCTGTTTTACATTCACTGTGAGGTTCTCACACCTTGTGCAGTGCTGGGGATGGGAGACCCTTCACTACACAGTCCTGTTGACAGCTGTGTTAGCTCAGGGGCTTTTGGCAGAACATCAGTGTAATTAGTGAGAGCATCACAATGTCTCTTAATTAGCAGAGTAAGTGAAGGTGGCACAGGTTTATCTAAACCTTACAGATACAGGAGTGCTCTCCAGCTGTAGTTTTTCTGAATGTGCAATAGCTTAACTTTCTGCCTTGTACAATTTCCTATCTTTTTAATAGTAACTTTTTTTGTCTCAAAAAATCCCAAACCAAACATTCCTTGTGAAGCTGTTGTTTGTTTTGTTTTTGACCACTTGGGAGATAAGGGAAAACTGGTAGGAATTCATAGTTGTCCTCTGTGAACTGGACATTCTATTCTAGAAGACAATTTCATAGATTCCCATGATCCCACATATTTTTTTTTGTGAAAAAAATGGCAACACGTGGATTCTGGTGTCTGTGCTGGTGGCAAGTGCAAAGTTACTGGTCCCTGCTTTCTCTCCCATCTGAGGCACACACAAGGCCAAACAGGTTTGCAGTTCCACTGTTTAGGGCTTGTCTCTTGTTATGGTACCCTTCTTCTCCCTAATTCAACCAGAACCCACCTCTTTGCGTGACAGCCTGCTATTCACCTCCTTTCTTCAGTCCCATAGTTTGCCTTCAMCTTTTAGGTGCAGTAGGATTAATCCTGCTGCAATCCTCTGCAGGTCCCAGTGTCACCAAGGGTATGAGGAGAGTACTCCTTGCAGGGGATTATGCTGCTGGCACACAATTGGAAGCTCTAAGGTGGATTATGACTTAATTAGCAATTAATCCTCTTCAATTACCTACTCAGCATATGTACTGAGCATGCGTATTTCCCGTTGAGGTAAATTACATGTGTCACTAATCCAGAAGSAGCTGGAATAGTTTCTTTTTTTAGCTCATATTACACTGATCAATCAGTTTTACAGTGACTTTTCCTGCTTAGAGGAATTCACTTATGGTTTTTTTTTTTCCTATTGCTTGGGATTTCCCCCTTGCCCCTTGATTGATTTTGTTTTTCTGGATTAGGAGCAATTAGGAGTAGAGAAGACCTTTAGGGGTTTCAGAAAACCTTTTGTAAAGGCTCTAGAGCCTACATATCGTGGAAAATAGTGTGACTCGTTAAAAAGTTGCAGATCATCCTTGAAAGAACATACGAGGGAGATGACAACAGCTCTAGATATTAATGGCAACTCTTGCAAAAAAACCAGCTTTTCTAAAGACATAATTCTTTGAATGGGATTGTGCAGGTGTTGTCCAGGCTAACGAGACACACTTTTCCTTGTTTCTGCTTAAAAATATACAGGATTATATACCCTGTTGGAATAGAAGGGCATGTTCTGTTCTTTCAAAGCAGCTTTCTTTGAGAATGCTTTGCTGAAGGGGGCTTTTCACGTGAAGGTAATAGTGCTTGTTCTTCCTGAGGGAGCAGGACAGCCTACTTGGCTCTGGGTACCTCGTCCTGGGGTGGAGAGGCAGCTTGGAGTGTCTGACAGACTGACAGCATGTGCTGCTGAGAGCCTTGGTGAGCTACAGCAATGATACTAAAGCACCAGAGCAAATCCCAAATCTGGGTCTCAGTCTTGGCCCTATCATGTTGTTTAATGTAAAACACTTATGGGAGGAACAGAAGTAGGAGTGAATTTGGGATAAGAGGTGCAACCTGAAATTCTTTTCATTGCTCCAGATAAGAGTTTTGATACAGTTTTGCTGCTTTCTGCTGGGTATGTATTGTGGGTTTTATTCTTTCTATCTTTTTTCCTGAAGATTTCTTCATAAGAGATTAAGATACAAGGCTTGAATATAAGATTGTTTAGAATGAAGCAAGCATATTTTTTGGAGGAGTTTTCTATTYGCTGTGCAAGATGTCTGTAATAGTTAATGCAATCCTTTTCTGATTCAGGTTTTTTGTGGTAGCTGTTGCAAACGAAAATGCAARCTGCAATACATGGAGAAGGAAGCAAGAGTCTGCACTGGCTGTTATGATGATATTAATAAAGGTAAAGAGGTTTTTTTTGAGTAATTGCAGTAATCGTTGAAGTATCTCTTCAAGATTTGTTCTTTTGGGGGAGTTGATTACTTTAATTGGTGTATGTTTTCCTATTTCTGAGATGAAGGGATGAAGAGAACATTTGTACCTCTTAGTTGGATTCGAGTTCTTATTTTGAACTTCGAGTATGAAGTTGGTTGTTTTTTGTTAAACTAAGTTGCTTTTAACTTCATAGGACTAAACAGGATGTTACAGAAGAATAGAATTTATCATGTTGAGTCATCTTTGATAGGAATTCAGCRAAAGTACTCCCTCCACAGTAGCCCTCTGTGTGTTTAAAGGCCACATCTCTGTCCTCATATGTTATTTGCCCACTTTATATAGCTTCCTGTCCTGCTGTTTTTACAAGACACTTAACTGGGCTGCAGTAAGTGACTCATCAGATAACCTTTTCTTAACTGGGAGCTAAGCATGGATGCTGATAAAAACGGCAGAAGAAACAATCGAGGTCCTGTTGGTTAGTATTTAAATAACAAGCTGAAAACGTGTCTGAATTTTATTCGGCCACATGAATGGAATTCAAAATTATAAATGTGGCGAATATTTGTCCCATCACACTGCACTATGTGGTCACTGCAGTGCTGCCAGGACGGACAAGGGGAGGCTCTTTCTCTCATGAGAAATTAGGCAATTATGCAGGTAGAAAATAAATCTAAATATTCTTCCATACAACAATTTGGGTGTTCATTTCTCATAAAGAGATCACACATGGTGTGTTGCCTCTGCCAAAAAAACCTCACCCACAGTGCTGCACTGCAAATTAAATTTATTCAATGGTGAGATCTTAAAAACTAACCACATTTTTTTAGCACAGGCATTTGAAAGGATGATGAGTCCAACTGGTCCTGTCCCCAATTCCTCTGAACATTCCTCTGCTGTTGCACCTGTAGAGGAAGCCCAGATACCTGGCAGTGCCAGCTCTCCTTCACCTTCTGCATTGTTGCCTACTTCAGCTCTTAAACAACCTGGTCCTGAAGGTACAGATGTTAAATGGAGCATATATCTAACAATCTGAGAGTCTCTTTCCAAAGAGTTGTTTATCACATCTGGGGTTTATGCTTGATATTTCTCGTGTGAAACAGGAACTCTCTGAATGGAGAGTTCACTGTCACTTCCTAGTTTTGGTGCTGGTCCTAAATCTTCACTTAGGAAATGTGGATGTTGCTTTTTTCATTGCTCTCTCTGTTTTTATTGTAAATGTTATTATGTGGCTGTTCATGTAATAATTTTTATATATCTTGTGAGATTTATGGCTTGTGTTGGACTGCCAGTCTTGCTGTAAAAACAAAAAGTAGCTGTTTRGGGAGAAGTTACAAGGGAGCAGCAAAGGTTCATTTTCTGTAAAAGTACTTTCCCATTTCTAAATAGAAATTATGAGTGGCTAACTAGTGTCTTTGTTCCACTTTTATTAAACATCTGACCTCCTTCAAAGAAAATACATTTTTAAACGTAAGTGATAAATCAACTCTTTTTAGAGTGCATTTAATCTTCAAGTTGTGATTTGTGTTTCATTCTTATCTTACTACAGGGGGATGATTGAGGAAGTAGCCTTCTGTAGTATGAATTGATAGATTTAACTGTAGCAGGGCTGCTTCCTCTGCAAGTGAGAGATTGTGTTGCATGTACTTCCCTGATTGGAGACTGGCTGATGTYAACCTCTAGCTGTGCTTAATTCCAGTAAACAGATTGTCCATGCCTTTGGTGGGGAAAAGGGATTTAGTTTTTGCCTGTTTCAGATGCTGGAACAGTGCAGTAATACGGAGTTGTTGTTTTTTTTTTGATCTGTCCCAGGGCTGTGCCCCAGAGAACAGAGGAGGGTTTGGTTTGCAGATGGTATTTTGCCAAATGGTGAAGTGGCAGACACAGCAAAACTGTCCTCTGGAGCAAAGAGGTCGCAGGACTCCAGCCCAGTAAACCCRGACTTGCCAGAGACACACACGGTACGAGTCAGCTGCATGATTTATTATTAAAACATCGTTGCTTGCTATTGATGAAGCCCCTTAGAGACCATAACATGACTTGTGATTCACAGCTTTTGGAACTTGACACAATATTTGAGTATTTTGGGGTGGGTTGTAAAGTCCTTGGACTGAAAAAGACGCTGCAGTAATTTTCAATTTGAGTAAAACCAAGCAAGGTTTTCAAGGCAAAACCTTGTTTGGTTTGAGGTGGCTGTGCACTTCAAAAACTATGTGGTGGAACATTTTCAAAAGCAGTTTTCTTTTTTGTGGATAGTGGTTTATTAACCACTTTTTTGAAGATGACCTCAGCTACAGTTCCTAAACCTGTCATTATCAGCATGCCTATAGTAGAAGTTTGTGGTTGGGTTTTTTTTTYACTAGTGGTCTGCTATAGGTTCCCTGTTGGATTAGATTAACCACATTAGAGGGTGCAACAAAATATCTGTAGTGCCTCTAATGTGAACTAATACTGAACTGAGAGGTAGATTGGCTTTTTTATCTTGAGTCATGTAGGTGATGTTGAATCAACTGCACTTAAAAAGAAAAGTCCAGAGAAGAGTTAGTTTGCTGTGGGAAGTCTTAGTGAGGTTCTTCAGGGGAAGCCTTTTTAAGATAAAACTTAGCATTGAAGAACTGTCTCAAATAACAATATAAATTCCATGATTTATATAAATATATAATTTATATAAATTCCATGACAACACTCAAGAGTTTTTAAAATACATTGTTAAAGCTAAAAATCCAGACCAGATCATTATTATTTTGTTTATGGAGGATCTGAACACTCAGGAGGTGTATAGCATGTAAATCAGCATGAAGAGCAGTAGTAAGCAAATCAAAAGAAGTTGGAGTAATTAAAGGTATAGCCTGTCTCCCATCTGGGGAAGAGTAGGATGTTTGAAATTGCAGAAGATGAGCAATGTGTAAAACTCAAAGCAGCATGAACAAAGTGAGTGGGAGACAATTAGTTGACAATTTGTCTGTGCAGCCTCAGGAGCTCAGAAAAACACAGTGCAGCTCCAAAAGCAAAGGAAACAAAATCCTGAATGTGCTGTGGAGCTCAATCGTGCCAAGTGGTATGAAACACCAGCAAGCAAATTCATGGTGAAGAAGTCTGTTTTTGACCATTTAGTAATGTTTTTTCTGTGTTTTTATGAAGTATTCCCTTTGAGGTTGGTGATTTTATTTATCTTTGGGCAGTGTATTTGTTAATTGGGGGATTTGCTGGAAGCTGATGTGACACTAGGAGAAATGCTACAGGGCAAGCATAGACTTAGGTTTTTTCTTGTTGCCATGCAAAGTTTTCCCTCTAGATATAGGATGCAAGTCTAACATACTTGAAAGATGACATGTGTCTCTGTTTTTTTTGGAAGGGATTATTTTTTTAGTTTGTTTTTTTAATGACAGCTGACATCCTAATGTGCCTATACTCACAGCTTGCCATACATACCTGTCTTCCTGGGAGAGCAGCATAGATTTGACTCCTGAAATTAATCAGACTGAACAATGCTACATTCAGCTATTAGTGCTGAGAGTAGAAACAGAAATATGTTTGCARTACTCAACTCCTGATCCAAGGGATGCCAGGTTGCTGTCAGTGGGGGAAACTGATAGCACACAGATTCCCAAAGGGGCATTGGAGTGTTGGTGGTGTGTTACAACAGTCTACAGCCCTCCCATCTGAATTTATGCTACCAAACAAATAAATTATTGATGCATCTTCACCTATGTAACTCCTAAACAAAAAAAAGAAGAGGTTGCAGGAAAGATTTGCTGGCTTTCTTCTTAATAGGAAGAAATGTATCCTCAGCTTTTRTGATAGATTTCTTTCTCTTCTTGCTTCTAGGATGCTAATGAAAGTTTACCAGGCTGTGAGACAGTGTAGAATTTATTTTTTTGATTTCTTTTTCATAGGCAGCTAACACAGAGGAAGATGACACGATAACTGATGTAAATCCAAAACTGAAGGAAGAAATCGACAAGATTACAAAAACAGAGGAATTGCATCCTTCTGTTCCTTCAGATGATRCGCAGCAGACCACTCCAGGCCACAGTGAGGTGGCACCTAGTTACAAATCTGACACTTTAGGAACTGGAGAATGTCCTCCTGCAGAAGCTGAGAAGAACAGTCCCAGTTCAGTGGCTCAGGCTGCATGGGATGTGCCTGTTAGTGCTTCAAGTTACAGAGCTCTGTGTGGGGTRGAAAACTGCGTGCGGCGAGACATCAGCCTTGTTCCTGATGGGGATCGGCTGCCACCRCTTCTGCTTGCACTTGGTGAAAAAGGGAAAGGTAAAATTCAGTAACATTTTGAGAAAATTGTTAATATGTAGTTTCAAAAGCCTAGAATGGTTTGGGTTGGAGATGACATTAAAGCTCTTCCAGTGCCACTCCCTTGTCATGGGCAGGGACACCTTCCACTATGCTAGATTTCTAAATATGGACTAATGTGCATGCAATTTATATTCTAATACGGTTCTCATGTAATTTATTTCTCATGTAATTTATTTCCCGCATATTTCCCTGGATTTTTAACAAAATCAGTGTGTTAGGAGAAGGATGCTTTACCTCTTACATGCATTGTAGTGGTGTCTGTACTCATCGGTGGTACCTGACAGGATCAGGGTATGGATGAGGAGTCAGCACACACAATCAGTCAGGGATTTCCAAAGAAATGGCAGCCCTGGTTTGCACCTTTGTCAGAAGCCACTGCATCAGTTTTATATATTCCTTGAATCTTGGGGTAAGGTGTTCTCTGGCTGATCTGTGGCTGCTCAAAGCTTGGGAATGACTACCAGGGTAGGAGGATGGGGTGATGTGTCTCACAGTGAGCTAAGTCTTGGTTTYGGCCATTGGCTGCTATATTGAACTAAGTCATGTGTTAATTTGTTTAGATATGCTGGTGGAGGAACACCCATCACACCAAAAGGTCGCCTTGCTGCTTGGGGAAGGAGGTCCTAATCCATTGACTTTTATTCTAAATGCAAACTTGCTTGTSAATGTTAAGTTAATAACATGTAAGTACTGCACATTTTCTTTACCGTTAAATCAAGCCTTTTTTTTTCTGACTGTGAAACAGCATTACTGTGGTATCTTATCTTTTTAAAGATTCCTCAGAAAAGTGCTGGTGCTTCTCAACAAACGGACTGCATGGTTTGGGTCAGGCAGAAATTGTCATTCTGTTGCAGCGTTTGCCAGATGAAGATGTTTTCCCTAGTGAAATACTCAAATTATTTCTTGACATCTATAAAGATGCAATGAAAGGTGTGTTGTCATTTTAATATCTATTTTTTTCTTGTGTAGTATATTCTTGCTGATCCTTAAAACTTACTGTTTATAGGTAATTTTTATTGAATTATTTAAGTCTCTGATGATTCTGTTGAAAGAACTTGCAGTGTCAGGCTAGAGTTCTAAATAACAAAAGGTTTTAAGTTTCTTTGTTTCCTATACTTGTGTAAACATGCTGTTTGCAGGTTTTTTTGGTTGTTTAGTCATATTGTGATGGAGATTCTGGATATGAACCTTTGAGTCCATGTTTTTTAGGGCATCTGGCACTTTATTTGTAGAACAATGCTCATGGATGTAAATCTTTTAGGTTCTGTTGATCAAAATTCATCAATTGGCATGTGCCAGAACGCTGAACACTCATTTGGAGACACCTAGTTTCTTATTCTATTCTATTTTATTTCATATTCTATTCATATTTTATTTAATTGTGAAATACAGAGTGCTAAATCTGTGGGTTTAGATCTCTGACAGAAAGCAGGAAGATGTGAGATAAATGGTGGGCTCTCCAGTCTGTCAGAGGTCACTGATTAGAGCAGGTCTTGGCACTGAAGTATGAGAGACCCAGATCTGTAAACACTCTCCATTCCTCTTTCTACAGGAAGGTTCATAAAAAATATGGAAAACATTACTTTTACAGAAAGCTTTCTCAGCAGCAAAGAGCATGGAGGRTTCCTGTTTGTTTCACCAACTTTTCAGAAACTTGATGATCTGATTCTACCAGATGAACCTTTTCTTTGTGGGATTCTTATCCATAAGCTGGAAATACCYTGGGCAAAAGTGTTTCCAATCCGTTTAATGTTGAGACTGGGAGCAGAATATGGGGGTAAGTTTTAAGGGTTTCACCATTTACATTTACAGCTGTATAAAAGTAAAGTTTCCTTTGGAAAATGCAAATGGTTTTTAGACAAGTGAGCTATTTAAAATCATCTTTGCATTATTTTGTATTACATTTGTATAAGCCTGACATGGGGAGCCGTGTGTTCAGTCACCTGGGAATGTCCATTGTACTCCTAGACTTCTTTCATTTTTTCTTTTCTTCAAAGCTGATGAGAAAGCTAAGAAACCAAAACTGACATTAAAATTGAAAGATTTTTTTTTGTTGTAGCAGAAAGAATTTAAGGGATGTTCACAAGCTCAGTTTATAACTCTGATGAAATGGAGTATAGTGGTAAAAATATAGATATTTATTACTTACAAGGATAACTTACTAATACATGGGAACCATGTAGACATGTAAAAAATGCAGSAGCCCAGGCTCTACCAGCCAGGCTCTCTCTGTGGTGACAAGGGTGGCAGCTGCTTTGTTGTTCTTTCTTTTCCCAAACTACTTGCTGTGTTTTGTTTTGAACCAATTTTGTCAGATATAACCATGGCGGGGGCCAGGGGGTAACCACACAGTGGCTGAGAATTAGAGAGGGGCTCTGCTTCCTTTGCCTGGTCATGTATTGAGATTTAGAAATAGGTTATAGCTGAAAAAAAACTATAAAACTACCTGGAATAGCTAGTTTTAGAGTTGTTGATGGGTAAATATGATTTTTTTCCTTCCTAGTCTATCCAACCCCTGTGATAAGTGTCAGGCATCGGAAGCCACTCTTYGGAGAGATTGGACACACAATTATGAATCTACTTGTTGTGAGTGAATTATTTATTGTCTTCCCTTGCTGATGTAATCTAAATTACATRAAATGTCCTCCAATTAAAGAAATTCTGAATCTTGAAAGTAGAGCTGATGTTTTAAGTCAAGTATGAAGAACAGAAACCAGTGGAGTAGAAAAACTGTTTAATCTTGTATTGCTGTGCATTAGTTCTGGTAGTGAAGAAAGTCTGTAAATGATTTAGAGAGATGTTGACATTTGCACTGATGCTAGTAGTCATCATTGTATCGGTGCATTTTTCTCTTCCAAGCATCATTGTGGTGCAGGGATTCTGGTCTTAAATCTGACAATTTTAAATGTGAAGAAAGATTTGTCATGTAGATTCCGTGGACAAACTGCAATAATAATTACTTTGTCACACAAACTTAATGTTACCTGACTGTCTTTTTTGAAAGACTCTTTTTGGCAAAACCATGAGTAAGTCAAATCTGGAATTCATGCTGTTCCCTGTGGAAGCTTTCCCTCTGTTACCCAGAAAATTTGATTTCTGGGTTGCAGTCAGGCTGTGTTCCTGACTAGTAAACTTCCTTTGTTTTCTAAGACTTAAATAGAACTTCCAGGACTTCACACCATAATGATCAGGGCAAGRCCATGGAAAGCACGGCATGTCTTATTTAGGCAATCACTACATCTTCTSCTGGGTCTCAAGACCATTGTAGCAGAGATGAAACTGCAGCCTTTGCCCCATTTTTTCCTTCCTGGGTGCCAGTCCCACGGAAACCTTATTGCATTGGGATGTTGTTTTAATTACCCTTTTTGCTGCAGCTGTGCTGATGGAGGAAGGTACAGCTTGCCTGCCTCTTTTTAACTTTTCAGCAGAAGTAGTAAAAGCAAATGAGACCATTTCATACATAATATCATTATGCTGGAAATAAACATAATTTTGCAGAGGTGGGTGAGGTGATGGGTGATTACTTCTGTCAGAGAAAGGGCTAAGAAATGGTGCAGTATTCAGTCTGTAAATCAACAAGTTARATCTGTAGGGGACAGGCTGTGAGCCTGGAAACAAACTCACCTAGATGGTGTCTTCCATGCTTTATTTTTTCTGTCAGAGAGGGATGGTGTTGAATTTTTTTTTTCCCCTAAAACACTGGGATTCTAATGTGTGTGAAGTAGCCATAGATTAAATACTGGTTAATACAGCTACCTTGTCAGTGCTATCAGTTTGTTAATGTATTCACTGAGGTGCCTGTCATATACACCCACTGGGCAAAAAGGGATCACTAAGTCTTTAGTCTTCTTAGTATTATTATTTTTAGAAGTCCTATAGATGTAGGTGGAGTGCCCTCATCTAAATGATGAAGGTAAGAAAAAGGTAAGAAAACAGTACTTAATTGTGTGCTACCATAAATGCTTTATCTGTTACAGGACCTTAGAAATTACCAATATACTTTGCCTACCATAGAGAACCTGTTTGTCCATGTGGAAATGGGTAGAAGCTGTATTAAAATACCTCTAAGGAAGTATAACGAGGTGAGTAAAGCCATCTTGGTTAGCTTTCTAATCCAGACTCCTTTAGTCTTAATTTTTAGTTTTCACATCTATGCCATGAGCTTTTTGAAAAAAAACTTCTCTGAACTTTGTACTGACCTAAATGTGTAAAGGAAAAGGCATGCAATTTCCAGAGCACACACTTTCTTCTGTGATGTGTTGGAAGGTGGATAATGATGAGTAGAGATTTAGGATAGCTGTTAAGTGCTGAAAAATCAGCAGTTTCTTCAAAATCTTTCAGCATTTATTTTCAAATGTTCTCTSTTACCTATTTCCTGATGATGATGTTTTACTTAAGAATTTTTTTAAAAGATAAAGAACCCAAACAACCAATCAACAATGAAAAATCCCCCTCTTGGTGAGATTTATCAGAGTAATGACAAATTTTGTGTTGACAGGTGATGAGGGTGATCAGTTCTTCTAATGAACATGTAATTAGCATGGGAGCAAGTTTTAATACGGAAGCAGACTCTCACTTGGTGTGTGTGCAGAACAAGCATGGCCTCTATCACACCCAGGCAATCAGTTCTACAGGAGATCCCAGGAAAGGTGAGAAGTCTTTTGGGGAAAAATCACATTTCCACAGCAAAAAATGGAAACTCACTATTCGGCTGCACAGAAAATGCATCTCTGGTGGTATCACATTAAAATGTGTTTTGGGAGGAGTGCATGTTGAATGTTAGTTATGACTGACTGGAATGATACAAAGTGATGCTCATTTCCCTTCTACTGTTTTAGTTACAGGTGCAAGTTTTGTGGTGTTTAATGGAGCCCTAAAAGCATCTTCGGGATTTTTAGCTAAGTCCAGTATAGTTGAAGGTAAGAATTTTGTTTTAGGCATTAAAAAGAGAAAAAATTAGCAGCAGTCTTATATAAGGCCTTTATGCCTCAGTAAGCTAAACATTTCTTTTCAGATTTTTTAACTCTGTATGAAGCCTGTTGCCAATGGTGCATAAAAATACACCATAATTCATAATTCACTTACTTCTTTTAAGGCATTCTAAGTTTTAATTCTGTTTAACCAGAATTAAGTCCAAGTCTTACCTTTATGGAACTGTTTTCATTGCCATATTGCTGAAATACATATATTCACACATAGATGCAAAAAAAAAAAAATTTCCAAGATAAGCCTTAAAATGTTCTTTGAGCTTGAGTTTTGTTGACAACAAAGGTTTTTGTCTTCTTTCACGTAACATTTAGTGCTGTGGTTGGGGGATAGAGTCCTTTTGTGCATTTGTTAATTAGCTGTAGGAGATGGTTGGTCCCACTAGAATTTAAGCCAAAATTCTACTAAAAAACTGTGCTGCTTTTCCTGTGGATAATTTTGAATTTTAACTGATTTTCTTCTAGATGGACTAATGGTTCAAATAACACGGGAAACAATGGAGGACCTTCGTCAGGCATTAAGAGACAAGAAGGATTTCAAAATAACCTGTGGAAAAATGGATGCAGGGGATGCAAAAGAATACGTAGATATTTGCTGGGTAGAAAATGAAGAGAAAACAAGCAAAGGGTAAATGTGCTACCAAAATCAACCATCTGAGAGAATTCTTACTCCCAATGTTCAAATACTTGCCTGTAGTTTCTTGAAATTAATCTGAAGTACTTTTTACTTTTATTGACAGAAAGTGCTCAATATCRAGAAATGGTTTATAGCATCTTAAACCTGCCAGATTAGGTTTATATTAATCCCATTCATTCCCTATTTAGGATTTTTTTTTTGTAGCATCTGTATTTTCATGATGCAAGTCCTATATTGTGTTTTGTTGTAAAGCTGTTTCAGTAGCCTTGAAGGATGGGTAAATATTATTTCATAGAAGTTACTGTATCTAAACCATAAAGTGATGTTTGAATTATTAATGATATTATTGTTTTCCATAGAATTTTAAGCCAAGTTGATGGAAAATCAATGGAAGGAGCTCAGAGTGAAAAAGCGCCACCATGGAGAGACTTCGAAAGGGATGGAAAAGTTATAAAGTGCACCGAAGTTAGTGAATTACATAGTTGTTGAGCCTTTTTTTGCTACTTGTTAGCTAGTTAATGGTACTAAGTGATACTGTTAAAATGAGGTGGTTTGATGTGTAGCCACCCTGGCAGCCAGGATGTTATCTGCAGCTCATAACTTGTCATACTTCTCTGAAAAAGGCTGAAAGTCTGCTAGCATCGGCAGCTCTGTAAATGCCTCATCCAGGCATTCCCATGGTCCCTGAAGTATTTTGATTGTGTGGACTAAATACTTGGGTGCTTTGCCAGCAAACAAGCTTTAAAGCTGGCTCTGCTGGGTGTTAGGTGATGCTGGATTACTTTTTCCTAACTTTGGGATAAACCAGGCTGCTGACTGTCGTTTTCTTCCTCTGGTTTCAGGTTAACTATTTTGTAAAGGATCATGAACTACCCAGTGCTGTTCCTCACCAGTTTGCTAAAGAGATTGCYGTTGCCTGCAGCACTGCTCTTTGCCCTCACCTTAAAACCTTGAAAAATAATGGGATGAATAAGATAGGACTCAGAGTTTCCATTGACTCAGACATGGTAAGTTTTCAACTTTTATTGCAGACATTCCATTTCCATTGAATTATCATCTCTTGTAAATACCTTGCATCTTTCCATGATTCTTTCAAGAATTTTGCCCTATCCTGGATCCAGGGGAGGAGGCTGTCTTAGTCATTAGTTTCTCACTTCATGATAGCTGGAATATTCTTTTTACTCTGATACAGCACTTTTTTCACAGMTTTGCTAATACAAAAAGTGTTAAWTAATATCAATGTTAATATGTTTCCCTCCTAGGTTGAATACTTGGCTGAGTCTGGAGGGCACCTTCTTCCACAGAACTATATGAACGACTTGGACAGTGCTCTGATTCCTGTGATTCACGGTGGAATGTCAGATCCTACAGCTCTACCATTGAAAATGGAATTAATATTTTTCATTMTAGAACGCCTGTTTTGATGAGGCTGATTACAGGCGCATACTGATTTGCTAGATCTGAACACCAAAGTTAAAATGCTACAAACACTAAAAATGTTAAAGTTTCTAAACCTGTTACGTTTTAATAGCTTTTCAAACCGTTTTTTCAAAGCCCCTCAGATCCTCTGGTTACTCTGCCACAAAAGAGTTGTAGTTTGTGTCATGAAGTTCTGAAAGTTTACACTTAATACAGGTGCAGAAGAGGGCAGGTTTTTGTTACTCTTTAAACAGCTGCAGCATTTCCTCGGTGTAGTGTAACTCCAAGCCACAGGATCTTGCCTCTTACCCTCAGATTAGTGTGTTACTGAAGTTGCTCTGTGTGATCTCTGCATGTGCTTTCCTGTGCAAGAGCTGATGGCTGAAGCCAGAACTCTTTCCTTGCCACTGGAGGTTCAAATTCCTCCTGTAGGACCTGCCTCTAGCACCAGTGTGTGGGTGAAGGCTTCATGGCTGAGGTCCTTAACTTGGGGATGTGATGCTGGTGCTTCAGGAACATGTGCTCTCAATTGATGTTTTATAGAATAACTTTTCTTTTCTTGTATTTATAAGGATTTATCTAACTTAAATGGAGGCTATTTTTATAAAAAGTGTTTTTTTTTTTCTTTTTTTATTTATCTAACTTAAATGGAGGCTATTTTTATAAAAAGTGTTTTTTTTTTTCTTTTTTCTTTCCTCTGTGTTTGGAATTCCTGATACAATTTGACCTTTCAAGGATTCGGAAAAAACAGAGTACCCTTGATATAATCTACATGTAGCAATAAGACAAGAATTCCGAAATATTTTTTCTGCTCCTGTCTACAGCTTTTGCCACATTTTAGTAGCCGCCTTTACTTTCAGGGAGAACAGATGTATTAAGTATGAATTTTCACGAACAGGTTGATTCTTGTGGAAGGTGTCCCTGCCCAWGGCAGGTGGGGTTGGAGCTCTTCRRGGTCCCTYCCAACCCCAACCATCCTGGGATTTTTGGTATAYCTGAGGTTCTTGCATAGGATGTATTTTTGATACTGGGTCATTTAGATCTATTTATGTATTTGTGATGCATGTGATTTGTACTGAGGTTCATCGAACTGTGGTTGGGGTTTGGCAGCAGCCACACAACTGCTTATTGAGAACAGAACCAAAACTAAATATATACAAAATCTATATTGTTTTCAGTAAAAATGCTGGTACAATTTTSTAATGAAAGTATTAAAACTTGGATGCCTTTTGATGCTAATAGGGGATATTTTATGTTTTTGTATCAAAAACAATTTGTAATTTAACCTAATCTGCTCTGCTTTTATCTGTGCTTTAACACTCTGATCCTAGAAGGGTTCAGACCCTGAATGGAACTAAGCTGCATTTCAGCTTTTGTGCTGATTTCTGAGAAACTGCCATTAGGGAGAAGGGCTGAACCCACGCACAGTGTGAACAAAACATGTCCTTGTTGAAAATAAGCTGCACCCAGGCCCTCGAGGGAGCCCCAGTGCGAGGCTGAACAGCGTTTYGGGGCTGTGACGGGGTCAGGGTGCCCAAAGGAACAGCTGCCTCTTGGCACTTAACTTCTATTAACTCCTTTTCAGTAATGATCAATAAAATTAACTACAGTGCTTGCAATCTTCTGTCTCTTCATTATTGATAATGAAGCAAACAAGCAAAGACATATTATGAATGCRTGTGTCCTGTCTCTGCAGCTTTCTGGGACTCCTGATGTTGTTTACAAAATGGGATTCTTTGCTCAGGGTGCCACAAGCCAGCAGAGACACACTGCAGAGAGGCTCTGGGTGTCTCTGTGCTGGGCAGTGCTGGTGCTCCGTGTGTTCTACAGCTCCACTGCCCTTTATTCACACCCAAACCCAGAGCTGGTCCCTTCCCARCTTTTGGGATTGATCAGCAATCACACCACGAGCTGTGTGACCCCAGACACCATCGRGACCTGCTCRGGGCTGAGCTGCAGCTGAGTCTGGGGTCTGTCAKGAGCAGAGTTCAGCTGCAGATRTAGACCCTGAGCATCTGGCCAAGCTGGCAATGCACACAGACAYACACCAACAYCCTGATTTCACACAGARTCACGGCATTAATCCAGYTGGAAAAYCCCTSCCAGCCCACGGTGTCCCAGCTGTGCCCGATGCYCMCCTTGTCCCCATCSCAGAGCTCTCAGTGCCACCTCCAGCCCTTCCCTGGACACCTCCAGGGCTGGGCACTCCAAAGCTCCCTGGGCAGYCCCTGCCAAGGCCTGAGCACCCTTTCCATGGGCAAATTCCTGCTGATGTCCCCCCTGAGCCTGCCCTGGAACAGTTTAAATCCTCTCATCTCTGCCTCGAGTCCCGGGGTGTCTGGGATGCAGCGCTGCCTGTCCCACCGATCTGGTCTTTCTGTGCTGATTCATTCAGAGGACACACAGCGGATATTAATAATTACCCCGACTGTGGATAATTGTGCCACAGTCCCGTTGGGTG